ATGAAGTCCAAACTAGGTGCAGTTGGGAGACGGATAAAAGCCGCGACCTCAGCCGACTTGAACCAAAGGTCTACGAAGGTGAGTTGGGTACGTATCTGGGAACTACAGGCGAACAGATGCTGACAGTCATGCAGAGAAACGCCGCAGTCGGGTATGGACGGGTCGATCCGGTGTTGGTACTGGCGAGGACCATTGAGTAGCCACCGCGTAGTTGAGCCAGAGTACAACGAGTGACCCTCGAAAGTCGTTGTGCTGAGGTCGCAATCGGAGATGGATAGCCGCCCAAAAAGACCGTAGGGCGCCAACCTCGGTTTTCCTTGACAGCTTCTCTCTGGTGAAGACACTGGAAGGCTATCTTGGTGGCAGAGTCATCAACGGGTAGATCGGGCGTAGAACGGCCGTGGTTCTATCCGCTGGTGTTTACTGTAGCATGCTTCCTATCACATTAGTTATAATTTCGAATCAGATTTTAAATATGTTGTCTTTACTGTGAAAATTTAATATAAATTAAGTAACTCGCTCTTCTTACGACTACGATCACGACTGATCTAGCCGGCCTCGGTGATTTCCCGGGTAGTACTTCTCCACAAGTGAAGATCCGTGGCAGCAGACCCGGACCGTTCAACCCATTCTCTTCGCCAACATCAGTGGCCGAATAACGAAGATCCAAAGACAATTTCCATGTCCTGACGGACTGAATCTAGCCAGGTTTTTTAAACTGACCATCTCTTCGACATCTCTACTTAGGTAATGGTGTCACATCGAGGGCAGAAACACTGACCCCGTGCGGTTGAAGACGAAGTATATGTCCGAACCACCTCTTTCTGGATTGCCTGGGATATCCTTGCAATGTTTTGGCAGCGATGATGGACTTTCTTATTTGAGACGAAGTTAGTGTACTCCACTCGAAGGATGGTCCACAAGTACTAGTGGTCAAATACAACCAGCCTTCTTTCATCTTCCACGCGCATAGCGCAGCATTCACAACCGAAGAGAAGGCTAGACCGAACGGATGCGCGGTATATGCTAACCTTTTCGGAAATATAAATATCGCGTCGGGTCCATAGGCACTAGCTAAGGCTTGAAAAACTCCACAAACTGCATCGATTCATGAAACCATGTCATCCTTACTCTGTCAATTCGGCAGAAACTTCCCTCCGGGGTATTTAAAAATGTCTACTGCTTCAAGTTTACAGCCAATAATCTCTAGGGATGCCTTCTCTTGGGCGGGAATGCCGCATGAAAATAGTTTGGCCCTCCCTGAGTGTATGGACAAGCCGACCGATTTAGCGAACTCGTTCACCTGTGATACCATTGACTGTAGTTCGTCAAAGTTTGAAGCTAGTAAAACAATATCCTCAGCATAGTCGGAATCGGTCTGCCGGCGTCCGCGTGCGATCTCAACACCGTCCTCTTCACGTAAAGCCTTCCCAGGAATCCAGTCAATAGATCACCCAAGTGCGCCCGAAAAAATGCTGTGGAACTCCCGATTTTCCTCTAGTAGTTTTGCTGGGTGTGTGCGCCTGTATTCGATCAACGTAATTTTCCTTGTGATTGTACCCAACCTACCTATGTCACCAATAAACTGGCTATAGCGGTTTATAATTATCAGCTCTTGTAGCCACCGCTTGGGGTCTTAGTGAGTGCGGTAAATGTGTTCTAGAATTTCACAGAGCTTCAACTTACAACGGTTGTACACAGTACTTGAGGAATGTGTTACTTTTCTTCTGCACTTCCATACCGGCACATTCCGTTCGCAGAACTTGTTCATGAACATCATCGATCCATCGCACTTGCGGCGAGATTTTTCCTCTACTAAGATAGCATGTCAGAGGAGACACTATGACGCCGCTTCCTTTACTGTACATCACTTGGGTGTAAAACTCCAATAACAATATTTTAATGGAGTAAAAATGAACGTTGGAATGACGCTGTAGTAGCACCAGCGTTTTCCTACTCATTTATATCTGTAGAATTAATAAAATTAAGATTCGTGGCTAAGTCTAACAAAAAAGTAAGCGCAGGACTAAAGATTGCGCTTTTTATTCGGTTCTCTTGCCTTATAAAATCATACTACAACCCTAGGCCGACAAAGTACCGAATTTTGAACTCTATTTTTGGAGTTATCATCGTGCTGGGTACTCAATCAGACGAACATATGCTCACCCTCCGTAGGCAATCATCGACTGTATACTAAGACCCACACATGGAAATCACATTAATTGATGTAGGTTTATCGCGGCCGTCCTCTTTAAGCTCTGATTTGTTGCTCCCCATAGTGTGATGCCTAATTTTTCTTTGACTGATCCTTGCCTTTTATTTATCCTCTTTTGGATTCTAGCAAATGATCTTGTGTTATTGCACCCTCATTAATGACATTGCTGGCTGTTCCGTTTTTTCTAACATGACGTTTTTTGAAATAATAGCTTATATTTATTCCATTGTAGACGCGATGAAGCTTCCGTATCATCGAGTTCTCAACGTAACTGGGTCGTATCAAGCATGTTCGGTAAGAAAAATACCGCTTGACGCAAAATTTGTTTTCTGATTGAAATTCATGAGCATCATTGTCCGTTTTGGGCTTATTCATTGTCATCAAGCGGCACCAAAAATGGTTTGTCTTTTGCGTGTAATCTACACAGACGTTGGTTGCTGATTCACCAGTTAGGTCAGGAGTATTTTGATAACGTTGTGGAAAGTTGGTCCAACATTGAAACTCCCTGAGAATGGATGATCGGACACGCATTTACCCTGCATTCAGTGTCTCTTAGAAGCAATTGATTTCCAAGTTTCGTTCTTTTTACAGTCATTTTGTATGAGTAGTTATGTATGTTCGGTCGTTTCTTGAGAATAGTTGTGGTGGTTTGTTCCAGAAAATCCCAATTTATTTTAAAAGTCCGTAAACGAATATCCATTTATGCTATTTCTTACCGGTGGTACTCAACGCTGACTGACTCAGTCGTGTGCTGCCGAAACTGTATTATCACACAGAAGAAAAACATATTTTTTTCTTTATCGACCAAGAGGCAGTTCAAAGGCGTTTGCCTATATTTCCTTTAATAAACTTGACTTGACTTGACCAACACAGATATAATTTGACATTCACTTCTGTTTTTACAATGAAGGCTTGGGCGATTCTTCGCGAAAAGGCCTTGAGCGGCCATCCGGTGAGGAGTTCGAGGTGCCCGTGACCTCAACATTGGCGACGACTGCGGCGCGTTCAGCGACAGCTTTCCATACCGAAGGAAATCACGCCGGAGACAGCGAGAGTCGCCTTCGCAACGGTGGTGGTGGCATTATTCGTCGGTTTGCCACTGCCGTCTCCTCTTTCATCCTTAA